TAGCACTGATAGAATTGGATCTCTATCTGCAGAAGAATGAAAGAGGACCCAACTCATCTAGGTACAAAAGTGAACTCCAGATGGATCAGAGCCCTAAATGGAAATCCCAGAGCTGGAAGGATCATCCGTGAGAAAATGGAGACAGACTTAAGTGCCCTCATGCCGGGCATGACCATACTCCGACAAAATAAGATAAAGAAAGCACACACAGTAGAAGACGAGATGGATGAGTAGGAACTACGAAAAACAAAAACAAGTGTATCAAAAGACATCATCAAAAGAGTAACAAGAGAGTCCATGGACTGGAAAAATATCTTTAGCAATGACCTAAGGGACAGATTTCTCAAATCTAAAGAATTCTGCAACACCTCAATAAGAACAAACAAAACAGAACAAACGATGCAATTAAAAAGTGAGCAAAAGGCATAAACCAAAAATAACATTCAAATTGCTTACAAACACATGAAACAAATGTCATGATAGCTAGCCACCTGAGAGATACAAATCAAAATAATGATATCACCTTGCACCAACAATGATAGCCCAACTCGAAAAACAAAACAGACAACACCAATGTTGGATAGAGTGTGAGACTGGAACTCGTATACACTGCTGGTAGGTTTGTAAATACATATGGCACCTGAAGCAGCTGCGACTAGAAATCCTATACGACCTAGCAATGCTTCTACTCGGTACATACCCCAAAGAAATAAAAGCACAACACAAGCCGACATGTGCTTTCCTATGTCCATCACAGTTCACAGTAGCAAAAAGTTGGAAATGTCTCAAACAACCATCAGTAGAAAAATGGATGCAGAAACTGGTAGAGACACCCAGTGGAATACTATGCATCCTTCAAGAACACTAATGAAACCACAAAGCACCTCAGGACGTAGATGGACCTGAAAACCATCACACGGAGCTAAGCTAGTCAATCTAAAAAGACGAACATTGTATGAGACCACTACGATGAGGAAGAGCACAAAGACAAAGGCAGATATCTGTTTTCAGGGCAGGTAATCTTCTAATCCCGTCTCTCAAGCAATGAGGTAGTATGCCTGTCTAATGCTTTCTGGTCCATATCTCACTCTCTTATTTGTACATCTTACAAACCACTTCTTCAGAGGACTGCTTATCTCCGCTGTGATCACTTTCTTATGCTGTGGCTCGAGGGAGACAACCAGGTAATTCCCGCTGTCCCACTCTTGCTCCAAATCAGTAGGCACCCCTACAAGTGTGTTCAGCTCCATATCAACAGACACTCCTACTTGGGTGTTCAATGAACCTTAATGAAAATTTAAGTCCCAAAGTGGCGATGGTGGTGGGGGACGTGTCTCTCTTAGAAGATGATTTCTGTTCTGTTGGCTTGTAAACCAAGAAGGACAACCTGCCATTGGAAAACATGCTTACACACACACACACACACACACACACACACACACGCACACGCACAATTATTTAGACTCTCCCCCCAGTGGAGAGTATTATGCCCAGTATTATCTTCCTTATCAGGCACTTTTAACCGGTTAGCCCAGGCTGTGTGCTATAGACAACTGGGATTTTAGACTTTGTTCTTTTGAGGTGCACAACATTCTGCCAGGGCCACCCCAGAAGGATCAGATTTGGAAACCCTGCCAAGTGAACTGTACTTTACCTTAAACATACTTGGCAACATACAATAATCGTCAGCTTAAGACTCCCTTATATTTGGTATTTCACACTCTCTTTGCTTTTGTATGACATTTCTTAGTCTGGCAGACATAGTTGTCTTTATGAATGAGTGTTATTCAAAGTTTTACTCTGTCTCCAACCCTCATTGTTTGCACAAATAGTCTCTAGTCATTTAAGTTTTTAATCTCAACAAGTCAACAATACATGTAATTTAGTCTGAAAAGTTGTCTTACATATACACACTTTCCTTTTCTCAACAATATTTAAATTTTATACCATTGGCTAAGTTAATGATACTATCAATAGAATTTTTAAAGTCCCCCATGGGGATTAGTTATAATACTCCTCAATAAAATAGCAATGTCCCTCAAGTATAAGCCGACCAGAATATCAGGCAAGACACCTAATTTTACCACAAAAGCTGCATAAAAAATGTGCTAAAAACTCTCTGTTATACACATAAGAGTTTCAGTGGATTTGTTTCTCTAGAGTACCCGGACTAACACATATACCATAGATACATGAATGGATTTTGAGATTGCACTTAATTGTAAACTTCGTCCAAGAGCAATTCATTCTTAGAATGTGGCCCTACTCTATACTTGCCCTCATAAAGAGATATGTGTGCTATAGTAAAGCGTGGTGAAGAAGTCAGATGGTACCTGATTATTGTCAAGAATAGTATCTGAGGTCTTAAAGACTTGTCTTAAAACAAACAGTAAGGTATCTAAGTAAGGTATCATATAAGTCCACGTGGAATAAGCACACCAGCCAAGCATTTTAAATAGAATTGTATTAGAGCTTAACTTCTGAACACTTGATTTGCAGAGGCTATGGATGACACCACATTTCATTTTTTCGGAGTCCCGGGTGGACTAAGCCTCAGGTGAATGTTCTCTGTCTGTTGGACAAGAATGTGAGTAGCTTTGCGACCAGACAGGGTGCATTAGAAAGCGGATTAATGCACATGTAGTTAGGTTAAAATTTAACATTTAACAAATGTATTTGTTTTCCCTTTTGATCCCTTTTAAATTTGCTCTAGATATTATTATTTCCTGCTTACTTTTGGATTGTGTTTTCTCTCTGTGTGTGTTTTGCTTTGTTTTGTTTGTTGCTGTTGTATGATTTGTTTTGTATAAAGTCCATGATAGGTAAGTCAATAGAGATAGTATCTAGATTAACAGCTTCTTAGGATTATGACAGGGAGGTTGGGGGAAATGCGGAGCTAATAACAAGGAGTATAAGAATGAAGAAAATCTTCTAAAATTGCTTGTGGTGGTGATTGCAAAACTCTTTCATATACTTGAACCACTGAATTGTATGTTATGCGAATTACATGCTAATAAAACTGCCCCAAATTAAAAAAACGTAGCGTTACAGGCTCGGAAACCATCAGGGACAGTCCTACCCTGCCCTACAGGACCCTTGGGAGTTGGAATCAACATAATGGCAGCGAGTTAGCTCGTGGACGGCTACGCAGTTCTTTGTCTTCTGAAATAGCCTCCTGGAACCAGATCTCACACCACAGGTGGAAGGGAACAGTCCTCCAGACTGCAGGTCTACCCACGACCTCAGAAAGCAGCCCAAACTCCGAAGACTTACACTATTGACCCGCTGGTGAAACACTTGGTAGTGCCCACTGCCCCTTCTAGTTTGACAATTCTCTAGAGAAATCTGCAGAACTCAAGGAAGTGAAAATGATGTACTTGTCATTATTATGAGGCTAAAATCAGATCCAGTGTAACGAAGAGCTATTAGGTAGGCATGTGTGATGAGCTCACTGCCCGCGTGGTTGGACTCTTATCTTCAGCTCACTCCCCTCTCATTGCCGGAGTTCATTTGGTGGGTCTCCTGGGCCCCACATCCAGTCACCTCAGAAACAGTAGCTACCAGGTGTAGTCTGGAGTCCCCCATGAATAACAAAAATACCTTAATCATTTAGGGAATGCCAAGATTCCAAGTGGTTATCTCCCAGGAAGGAAAGGCAAAGACCAAATTATTTGGCAAAACAATTATTTGCCCCCAAACATTTTAACTCACTAAGGCCTCCTCACTCAATGTGGTTGGAGGACCAGCAACTGCACTGTCACATGCAAACTTGATCCCTTGAATCAGAATCTTCATTTTAAGAAGATACTAGGTGATCCACAGACATAAGTTCTTCTTAAACTTAAGACCTTTCCATTATTAAACAGAGCCTTCTTGCCCAAACTCCTTCTCGTCGATCTGCCCCCCCCCCTGCTCAAATAGAGAAAGAGTACATACTGGATTTCTTAGAAAGCCCATTGCATCAGATTCTGGTCTGAGATTAGGATCACTCTATAGTGCTTTCCTCTACTCATTCATTCATCAATTTTTAGAAGGAGGATTCCAAAATTTTCTGGGCAAACGCCATTATCTTTTTATTCTATTTTCTCATGAACTTTTAGAATCCCCCTCATAGCACTTGAAAACTCAAACTCACTTCCATGCTGACTCATCATGACCCTACAGGACAGAGTAGAACTGCCCCTTTGAGTTTCTGAGACTGTAACTCTTCCTGAGAGTAGAAAGCCCTGTCTTTCTCCCATCAAGTGGCTGGTGATTTTGAACAGCTGATCTTGAGGCTCACAGCCCAATGAATAACCACTATGCCTTTTATAGCAATTGAACACCCTCACTATTACAATTTATTTTCATCCGCAATCCTATTCTTCCTGGTCATGCATTTGTAGGGTTTGCTCTGACAGGATAGGCAGGTCCTGGGATCTACAGTATGAAAGCTACCAGCCCAGGCAAGATGTTGGCACATGGACAAGAGAGACATTATCTAGTATCAGGCCCTAGAGCGCCAGGCAGGTAGGGTAGTGTGAAGTATAGTTCAACGATGGGGAGGCCCATAAAAAGTTCAATGTGCATAGGTGTTTGACACCTCACTTGGCAGAGAGCCTCAGTCTGTTGTTGATGGAAGTTGAGCAACCCACCCACTGGAATCAGGACTTCCACGTTGGAGCTCGCAAGCCATCCTCATGCGCTTGGGAGCAGGCCTGGGAACAGTGACCAAAGACAAAGCCCACTATGAAACCCATGTGGGACCCTGGACTGAGAGACATGTTATTAGGCAAAAAGATCTCTAAGGCAGGGTATAAGCTGAAAAACAGATGGGAGCCCAGAGGGGCTCTGAGTTCTGATCAGCCTGGGGGTATGGACAATTTGACAGCAAGACTTCTAGCGGGAGCCTTAGGCAGCTCAAAATGTTTCCACTTCAGCGCCTTTCCTTCCCAAGGATGGTGCTGGGGATTCGAGGCTGAGACAGCTGCTGGGGAGATGTGTGTTGTCATCTGTGAGGAGCCAGCGATGCCAAGAGCTGGGGCTGGGAGTGGGGATTTGATGTGACCTTCACTTGGGTGTAGATGACTGAGGAGTCCTGGGGAAAAGATAACATAAGTGAGGGCAAGAAGACGGCAGGTGTGGAAGAGGGCCCGCAGGTCAGTAGGCTCACCTTGTCCTTGAGAAGCCCAGATGGGGAGGCCACTGTAGAAAAAAGGGAAACATTTGGTTGTCACAACAGTAATTTCAGAACCGTTTTCTCATTTAAGCCTCATGTTAGTTCTGTGACAGTGTGGTCGGCAGAATTATGGCCCCTCAAAAATGACTTGAAGTGCTTACTGATGAGGCCAGAGTATACGCAAATGTGAAGAAAAGAAAAATTCTTACAATTTAACCGATCAACAACATAAATGGAGGGGGGGAAAATGAAGTTGTCATATTTTCATTCTACTTGGATCAATAATGAATGTTGAATTAGTTAATTGTGCCAGCCTGGCTGATAATCACATGTGGGGCTGGTTGAAAGGTGGAGGGATAAATGGGTGGTGAAGCCTCGCCTTTCTAGTTCTCGGGTGTCTTGTTTTGTGATGGTCGCATCAGGTGCAGCTGCCTTAGCAGTTCCCTGCTTCAGCTTGCAAGATTGACTTCCTACAAGACATCCCCAAGGAAAAGCCACATGGACCTATCCCGATGCAGCCCTGGGTGCTGGAGCAGCCACGTGGAGACCCCTGCTAGTGCTGAGATGCTTGTTCATTCACAGACTCAGCTTTCCTCCTGCAGTCGGCATCATTGCCTCTGTTTTGTGAGATGGTGGAGGACTTTGTGGACTGGTGTTGGGTTAATGGGTTAATGTTGGACTTGTGGGCTTGGGCAGCATTGGGTTGGGATGTTTTCGTGATGCACATTTTCTTTACATAAAACTCTCTCTTATACATGAGTCTCTGTGGATTTGTTTCTCCAAAGTACCCAGACTAATACAAATGTAAAGGAACCAAACAACATATTACATTGTGTAAATCTGCTGCAAAATAACTATTCTAAGTTTTGAAAGGCAAAGACATTGCATTGCTAACTAAGGTCTACCCAACTCAAGCCTTAGCTTTTTCACTGGCCTGATATGCAGGTGAAAACTAGACAAGGCACAAGGAAGACAGAAGAATGTCTGCATTCAAGTTGTGGTGTGGTTGAAGGGTATTGAACATGCTGAAGCCCTGCTGGCAACATGGTGGAGCACTTGGCTGCTAACTGAAACATCAGTGGTTCAAACCCATTAGCCACTCCAAGGGGGAAAGATGGCAATCTGCTTTGGTGACAACAATGTCCTTGGAATGTAAATAAGTCAGTTCTATCTGGTCCTGTATGGTTGTTAGAGTTGACTTTGCGGCCACAGGTCTATATTCCTGGTGGACTGTCAGAAGAATGATGTTAGGAAAAAATACAATTAGAATGGGAAAAGCTCAGCTCATTTATTTTTTGAACACGGTCTTTGGGAAAGACTGAATGCTAGAAACAGGCCCCTCACTTGGTAGAAGCTCGGTGGAAATGAGGGAAACCCTCCCTGAGTTGGATTGGCCCAACAACGGTAACACTGCACTAAACCATAGAGATGGCACAGAGTTGGGCAGCGCTTCGGGCATAAGGTCACTGCCAGTCAGCGCTGACTCGATGCCAACAAGCAACAGCAATAACAAGTAGGTCCACATCCTAGTCCCTCAAACCTGTGGCCATATGTATCATGCTAGATAAAGAAAAAGGATTTGGTAGACGTAACTAAGATCAAGAATTGTGCTAGAGGGAGATTATCCTGGATGACCAGGCTGAGCCCACCCTGATCATAGGAATCCTTAAAGTTGGAGAATTTTTCCTGACTGTAGATGCTGGGAGATGTGACTGAAAGAAAGATGAGATGAAACACTACTGGCTTTGAAGAAGGGAGCCACCAACGAAGGGAAGTGGGTGGCCTCTAGAAGCTGCATAATGGAAACAGATTCTCCCTGAGAGCTTCCAGAAAGTACGGACACTTTGATTTTTGCCCAGTGAGGCCTGTGTTGAACTTCTGACATACAGAACTCAAGAGAGTAAAGTTATAGCGTTTAGTCACCAAGTCTGCGGTGATTTATTGCAGTAGCAATGGAAACCAGGGCCGTTCTACTAGTCGGGGGTGGTACTGTTCCATTTTCGAGAAGCTCTGAGAGGTTAAGGGACTGCTCACAGGAATGGCTTTGTTGCTCAGGTGACACTGAGGGTATCTGTGAAGGATGAAGCAAGCCACACTGCCGGGTGGACTTGGGTTAACTCCAAGCATCTCTGGAGGGCACAAGTTGAGAATCATAAGTGATCAGTGTGAGTGGCAGCTAGGTCCCTGGTTGGCCCAGGCCTACTGAGGGAACAGAGATGGAGTTGTCACACACACACACATCAGTCGGTGTGGTAGTTACATAATCTGGTGTCAATTTGAGAGGATTATGAGTGAAGGGGTGGAGTCTAGGCTATCAATCCCGAGATAGCCAATGAGGCCTCTGTGTGCATGGCCTTCTCGGGAGAATTCTGGGAAATCCAGATTTTCCTCCTTAGAGGCGGGAGACACTTTCTCTGCTCACTCCCTGGGTGACTCTCCACTGACAAGACACATGGCCCCATGCTCTGGGAATTGGAGGAGCCACGTGGAGACCCCTGCCAGCGCTGAGATGTTTACAACACCACTGGATCCAAAGACTTTCTACCCTGTGATCATCCTGCATTCAGCGTCATTGCTGTGTTTTGTGAGTCTGAAGAGGACTTTATGGATTGGTATCAGACATATGGGCTAATATCTGACTTATGGACTTGGACTGCACTGGGTTGGGATGCTTTCTTAATGTACAATTACCCTTTATATAAAACAGTCACTTATACACATATGTGTGTTTATGAATTTGTTTCTCTAGTCTACCTTGACTCACAGTGGAGACACAGCGAGAACAGAGACGTTCTTAGCTCTTACCTGCACATCTCTTTTCTTTTTGGATGCTCTGGACTTCTGAATAAACCACATCGCTTCCTTTAAAGTTCACTTGAAAAGAAGTTGAAATTTCAGAAGATTAAGTTTCTTGCCTCTTGTCTGAGTTACTTCCTACACCCCCAGGGACTTTTGTTCTCTGAAGTGACTATTGCCCTCAAGGCATGTACAAAGCCCTTCCTCATCTCCTCCCCCATCCTGCCTATTGGACCGACCTTAGGACCCCTGCTCAAATGGGGGCTTTCAGTTCTCACCATTGCTGTATACCGGCTGCAGTTCTACCCAGGCTGGGACATTGTGGTAAGTGGCCTCTTGGGGTTCTGAGTTAGAGGTGCTCCTGTTAAACACGGAAATGCCAATGTTTCTTGGGAAGCCTCTGACACAGTAGGTATAATGATCACTCCCACATAGTGAGTGAGCTACTGGGTGTCTACTAAGGCTGGGAGCATCCATAATACATTACCTCTGGTGATTACATGACCCATCATAATAAAATAATGTTATTTGTGTCCAGTGGTTATTTAGACATATACCAGGCACTGCGCTCATGTTTATAACAATGCTATGAAGTCAGTTTTATTACTATCCCCACGTTGTAGAGAATCAAGTGGAGCTTCCAACAGAGGAAGTGACTCACTCAAAACCCTTCAACCAGAAAGGGGCAGAATAAAGAGTTGAACCTGGCTCCCAAACCTATATTCTCAGAGAGACAGCAGGGTCTCAGCGAAATCAGTCATCAGAAGGGCTTCCAGGAGTTCTGGATGTTTTGCTACTGCTCCTGTGGCCTTCTTCATCAGCTGTTTGTGAACTGTGCTGTGCTTCCGAAAGTCCGACTTTGAGATTCAAGGTGGCACCCTTTCTTCACAAGCACCACCTCCTGCCCACTGTGGGGGCATGAGCTCTAGGGTGGCCAAGTTGTTTGGCTCCATTTTCCATGCTGTTGTCAACAGCACAACAGGTGGCAGTGGTGGCCACCTGTTAGGTGTCATCGAGTCAGTTCTGACTCATAGAAGCCCTCTGTACAACAGCACAAACACTGCCAGGCCCTGCACCATCTGCACCATGGTTAGTTTGAGCCCATTGTTTAGCCAGCGTGTCAACCCATCTTGTTGAGGGTCTTGCTCTATTTTGCTGACCGCCTTTACCACGCAAGACGTCCTTTTCCAGGGACTGTTCTCTCCTGCTCAAAGTACTTGTTCAGAGGACGTGCACTGAAGGCTGGCCACCCTCCCTTCTAAGGAGTATTCTGAGGAGCTCTTTGCTTCGAAGGTGTTGGTTATTTGTGGTCTTGCCCAGAGCAAGTCTGATTAACCGAGTATCGTTTTAGGATGTAGACAGATTCGGTAGTCATCAGACAAACAAGGCACTAAGGATGTGAGTTAATAAAAATCAACTACCACTTGATGTAAGAAGAGCACCTGGACAGCTAAATCAACAGGTGAGAAGATCTTGGAGCCACCTTGAGATAGCTCAAAAGTGGGACCAGCACGCAGTGAGCACATCCTATCTCAGGGACATGCAGCAGAAAGTGGCCTCTTCATGGTAACCACACTCAACTCCGCATTTCCACCTTGTGGATATTTGCTTGACTTGATAGGAAAGGTTAGTTGTAGGGGTCTAACCCCAGCCTTACCTGACAGAGTCGGAGGCAGGTTTTCCTCCTGCAAAGGAAAGCAGAGGAGCAATGGGTCTAGGGGAAGAAACCCTGTACAAGGAGCTAAGCTTATAGGAGCTCATTTAGAACCTGCTGGTCATGAAGGTTTGAGTCCTTCTTGTGATACCTAATGGATAGATGGTACAAAAACTACTAGCCATGACCTTCAGAGGGGAGTAGTTATCATGTGATAGGGTAATTCAAGTCCTTTCATCAGGACTTCATCAAGAACAATGGTAGGGAGGGAGGCATATTTGATCAACAATGAAAATGCTACATAGCTAAAGATTCAGGTCTGGGTGGTGATGGAGTGATGCTAGGACTAGAAAGGGGAAAGTTCTTGTGAAGTCTTTTATTATTGAACCTCTCAGCAGCACACTGATCTTGAGCTACAAAATAATAATAATAATTAATAGTAATAATAAAACAAAGATTCAGTGTTACCAACTCCTATTTGTCTTCTATCTTGCCTTGCTTTTCAAAGTATTTCTCCTCCACTTGTCATTCCCCAGAGGTTGTACACTGTACAGAAGGAGATACACCGGAGTTCCAGGTGTTTCATAAACTACACCTCCTCAGGGCATTGTCTATCCACTGGGAAGTTTGGCAAAGTTTGTTTTTGGTAAAGAGGAATTGGGGAGACTCAGAAAGGAAAGTATGAAGTTGTGGGAGTAAGGGGACTGGTAAGAGACAATTAAGACTTTGAGAGAGTGGTTATAAGGTTAGCGCTAGTTTGAGAGACTAGAGTCAAGATAAATTTGGACTCTACCAAAGGAAGGCTTGGGAATTACCCACCTGTTTTTTTCAGGAGCAAGTAATATAACAGCAATGCCACAGCAGCCAGGCCCATCATGCTGAGCAGCCCCCCGGTGATCCCTGTGAAAACATGGCCACTTCTGCCTTCTTTCAGACCTGAGAGGAGACCCCATGCATGAGCCAGGAGGAAAGTCTTGCAGTTTTGAATTGCCCTGGCTCCTGGAGCTGATGACTGAGCCAGGAAGAGACGGTGAATGTAGGGGACCAGGATTCCCGGGGTAGGCAGTGGATCAAGAAATCTCCCTCTAGTGAAGCAAATACTGATGCAGTACAGGAAATTACCCCTGTCTTTGGGAGAAAACTTCATATTTAGTGCTCCTCTTTGGCCCCCACCCATCTCTCCACGGACCACCGCTTCAGAAAATAACAATTTAGAAAATGGTGTGTGGGAATCATGCAACCTCATTGTCTAATTTCACAATGGGGGCACATGATGCCCCTGTGTCATGCTTACAGTTGATGGTAGAAGTGTGATTCATTGTATTTGTAAGAGAAAGAAGGAAGAGGCATAGGAAATGACACTTCTGATTTTTAGATGATGCTTTTGATTGTTCTCTCTAAAGGTGAAAAGGAAAGTCAAAGGTATTTTGCTGCAGTCAAGGAGGAAGAGCCCACATGTGCAGGAAGGGTCTGGCTGCTTAAGCAACATGATTAATAGGGAACCAGCATCTAACGCTTCCACCATTAGAGGCTCAAGGCCATGTGCATATGAATGAGCATGTAGTTAAGATGTGATAAAGATGGAATGAGAACACTTAAAAAGGGGTTTTGTGTTTATTTGAATGTACATAGGCATTAAATGTTTTTCCTGCCTAGTATTTTAAAGCAGACCTGAATATATGATGGAAGTGAATACTGGATATTATAGACAACTCCACCTTTTGCTAATACTTGACTCGATATGCTCAGAGAGGAACTAGGATTTGCCCAAAATAAACATAGACAATTGGTTTGAATATAGTGACCCTCTCTATAGAGTAGGGGGTGGGGGTGGGGTGAAGTGGGGGTGGGGGCGGGTTAGATAAAAACCTGAGGCACATCGAATCTTTCCAGCTAGGAAATTTGCATTTTTAAAAGACTTGCAGGGCGACTTAGAAGTGCTGGGAGAGCAGGAAATTTGCATATGAAGGAAATCGCTGCAAAGGGAAAAGGGTGGGGTAGGTGGGATGGAGAACTGCTTCTGAACTCTCATCAAGTGTGTCCCCACTGGGTTTATCAAAGCAGGGCAGTCAGTGCCCATCAGAAGAACCCTTTATAGGACTGGAAGTCAAGGGAGCTGGCAGGTAGACACCTGGTGGGATGCCTGCTTGTGGTGACCACCTGGGTCCACTCTTCGAGTGGAAGTGAAGAAAGTGAAACAACGAAGAGCTGGATGGAGTTTGGATGTGGTCCACGGCCACTCCTTGACCTAGCCTGATTGTTCCTTGGCACCCACTCACCTAGATTCAATGACCTGAGCCGAGGTGTGGTAATTGTTGACCTAGTCCACGGGAACTAGGGATGAGAGAAAGAAAAGGGCCTGGCTGGTTTGAGGAACAGGGAGGTATACTCCTAAGCTATTGCTCATACCCATTGACCTAGCCCATGGGGGTGAAGGATGAGTAGACCAGAACCTGAGTGAATGAAGAGAGGTACGTTTGACACTATGAGTTGATGTGAATTGCTGCAATTTGATGGTGTGCTTTGGGTTTGACTTTGCTTATGGATGAAGATGCTCAAATCAAAGATTGTTCAGATCAAGGAACATACCTGTCTTCTCAGAGTAAGAGTTAGATTGGGAAGGGTAGTGTAGAAATGTGCTATCTAAAATTGGATAGATAATGGCATAAGGTGGCTTTCCTAGGTATAGGACTCTCCTAGGTATACCGATCTCAAAATGAGGGAGATAAGGGAAGGGGTCCATGGAATAGTTTCCTCTTTCCCTGATGGGTCTGGGGAAGACATTGTGTGGGGAGATGCAGATATAATTACATGATTCAGCTGTGGGTAATGATTGCTAATAAGATTGTCATTGTAAAAACTGTAATTGTAGAAGTGGGATCTGTGAAAGAATGGATTGAGGGGACACAGGGCTGGGAGGGAGTGTAGGCAAAACTGTAAGTCTCTTTAGAGATTTTTGTTATGTTAATATCTCAAAAGCAGCTCCCAGGAAGAGAATCATGTTCTCTCTCAGTTAAATGTCATCAGATGCCAGAAAGAGCTCAGCCAAGGTGGCTTTTGGAGAATCTTGGAGCAGACTTTAATGGCTAGTACCCATGTCATCTCACCCTGAGGACTCTTTACCTTACTGAAGGAATAATTGTTAATGATTGTTTGGGAGTGATAAAATTATTGGGAGGTGGAAGTTATCCTCTAAGTAGGAAAGAAACATGGTTAGAAAAGCTCTCGGCCTTTGGGCTAAGAGCAAGTGTAGAAAATCCAGGTGTTGGCTCGTGGTATGAGTCAGTGCTTCTATATGTCATATCTTGCCATGGTCATATCTCACCAAATGACTGGGTGGGACTCTGCAAAGAAGGTGGTTGATAGAGCCTTGGTGGCATAGTGGTTATGCACTGGGCTGCTAGCTGCAAGGTCATCAGTTCGAAACGACCAGCCACTCCATGGGAGAAAGATGCGACTTTCTAACTCCTGTAAAGAGTTAACCTACAAGGCAGTTCTACCTTGTCTTATAGCAGCGGTTCTCAATCTGTGGTTTGCGACCCCTTTGGGGGTTGAACGACCCTTTCACAGGGGTCGCCCAATTCATAACAGTAGCAAAATTACAGTTATGAAGTAGCAGCAACAATAATGTTATGGTTGGGGGGTCACCACAACACGAGGAACTGCCTTAAAGGGTCGTGGCATTTGGAAGCTTGAGAACCACTGACTTATTGATTGAAGCTGTATTGATTGAAGCTGTATTGATTGAAGGATTGTATATGGAGTCATTCTTGATCCATGAATGGTGCCTGTGACTTTTGTGTGTCCATTGCAATGAACTGTCCGACCTATTAGAGAAATAGAAAGTGCCATGGAGAGATGGCTGGTGTCCTAATTAGTAAAAAGGTTGGACAGAGGTATGTTCTACTATCACCTCATAGTAATCAGTCTTGGGCTGACCTATATGGAGATTTTTTTCTCTCATTAAGCCTAGCAGGATGGCAAAACTGACCAATCCCCTCATTCAGGTTACATACACTTTACTTACAGGTCTCAGCAACCCATTTCAAGACTATGGCAAGAAAGGCCATTAAATGGGATCGCCTGGGACCACACCAACTACGTATGCTTGTCTTTGAGAAGGATTGTCTTGGGGACAAATCCATGGACCTTGAGGATTTCCTGGAAGGATATCATTTGCTCACAGGGAGACAGCATATGAAACTTACCTTTGATGAAGACTGTCACTACCTCACTCCGCCGAGGCCCCAGGCCATTGTCAGCCTCACAGGAGTAGTTTCCAGAATGTTCCATATTCAGAGAGAGGTTAAAGAACACTCCTCCTCGAAAGGAGACGGAGCTGTTTCCCAGCATGCCATCCTCATGATAGAACCGGTACAGGATTGGGGGAGAGCCTGTCCAGGCCTGGCAGTGAAACTCTGCCACGTCCCCCACCACAGCCTGAGTCCCTGGAGTCTTGAGGGTGAGGACCGGGCAAGACACTGGAACTGCGGGAGGGGGGCAGGGAAAGTCAGTAGTGTTTCTACTTCTAATACATGGGTAAAGGAACACAAAAGAGAACAGATAAATGGCAAACATTCCATCTCAATCTTGGAAAAATATACTGAAACACATATGGTAGATAAAGCGAATCACTGTGATGTGCAAAACACGTTTAACGCACTACAAACAAATGTGAAAAAGACATGAACCAGTGAAAAAATCTCAGTAACCAAGAAATACATAAAAGGGACTCATTTTTGTTGCTAAGTATGAAACATATAGGAATAAAAAAAAGTCCATAAGATAATATCCCCTTTCTCCATCTATCAGACTGGCAAAGCTTAAAAAGATGGATAATAGTGGATTGTTTATAGATAAAACAGGCGTCTTGAATTGCTCTTTAGGAATGCAAATTCAAGACACTTCCTTGAATGGCAATCTGGCAGATTCAAATGGTTAGTGCCCTCGGTGCTAAGAGAAAATGTGGAGGCTTGTGTGCACCCAGAGTTGTCTCAGAAGAAAGACCTGGTGGTCTACTTCTGAAAAATTAGCCACTAGAAACTCCACAGAGCACAATTCTGCCTACCACCTGTGAGGGGCTGCCATGAATAGGAATCAACGGATGGCCATTGGTTTTCACTCAATTTAAAATGCAGGTAAACCTGGCCCAGACCGTGTACTTCTAGGAATACTTATTCTGAGAATACAGACTAGCTGAAAACTAAAAGCAACCTAGCAGACGGGTGAATGAAGTACGAACGGTATCCAATATGTATTGTTAAACTAAATTCAAGATAATTTTAAAGTGAAAATGGCAACTTGTACAACAATATATGGAATATGACTCAGGTTTTATTAAAAAATATTTCTAGAAGAATGTGGTTTTATCTGGATGTCAATGTAGGGGTAGGGTTCAATTTTTTTTTCAATCATGAAGATTTTTACGCAACTTTATAATATCATAAAACAATTAAAAGTTGTGTTAAAATGTGGACAGGCGGAATGAAGGAAATGTCACAATGTATGATAGCCTAACATTAAAAGTTATGCCTGTATTTCACAACTGGCTTTACCATTGCTGCCTTTGTGATGTATGCTTGCTACAGATCTCTTAGAGCTTCAGTTTCCTCTTCTATACATTGAAATAAAAAATGGTTTCAACCTTGTATATTAATCATAAACATTCCAGAAGACATTCTATGTAAAGGACTAAGCACAGTCAAGATAATGACGTTGGTGCTGATGATAATGATAAATGTCCCCTTTCCTGGTAGTTCCTGATCTATGGAGACTCATATCCTGACTTATGTCCTAATTCTATAGCTTAGAAGTGATTCATTTAGGCTGGGCAAGAAGCCCTTTAGATTTAATGACAGCAGCAGCAGCAGCAGAAATAAGATGGCTTTGTCTCCAGGGAAGGGGGATGAATAGCAAATTATGAATACACAGTATAGAATGTATGCTTTTTGCATATGTCTAAAGATATAGGAGCACCACTTGATCCATGGCCCTGGCCTGTGTGGTAGATCTATGAGCCAAGAGGTTTTGTGAATCCCAGAGGAAAACTGACTAAGATAGATGCTGCTGGCGGTGAAAGAATAGACTAATTGAATGGGAAATAGCAAAGCTGAAATCATCATCGCGTGGGACCAGGCAGATAGCTGAACTGACCTCCTAATGAAATGCTGAATACTGGGCACGCATTCCCAAGTCAACCAATCAAGACTGCTTCTATGCCTTCCGCTACCCCAGGCGTTCGTGAAGAGGGAGGAGGCTATCAGTCTGTATCTTCCTTTTGTGTCTCAGAGAGTATGCACAGGCTGCTCCATAGTCTTCTATATCAATGCATCCCAGCTTCTCCTCTTGCAAACCTTTGCATTCTCATACTCCGTGTTCCCTCTCCATCAGAATGACTGAATTCCAGCTGGGATGCCCGTGGCTTCCATCTAGTCTTAGTTCCTCACCTTACGGGTGAAAAATGGAACTTAGTATCGGAAAAGACAGCTGGCAAAGGCGTTATCTTCAAAACCAAGTCTAGAAGCTTTATCCCAACAGCCCTTCGCATGCATTTGCTAGACCACCACACACACACACACACACACACACACACACACACACACCCCAGATGCTGCCATAGGGTCAGTTCCTACTCATGACAGCCACATGTGTGCAGGGTTTCAAAACTGTGACCAAGAAGAAGATCACTAATATTTCCTCTGAGGTATCTCTGGGTGGGTTCAAACAGCCAGTCTATTGAAGAATAGTTAATAAGAGCATGCTTAACCATTTGCACCATGCAGGGACTCCTTGTTACCACACAGGATTCCCTAAAAAGGAATCTGACAGTTCATCTTATGAAGTGGTCGTCACCAAAGAAATTCAGAGCACGTCCGAAGTTTCGATTCAGATCGTACCCTTGTGGCAAATGACCAAGGGACAGCGTAGGGAATTGAGAGAATTGATTTATGGGTGGCCATTACCCAGCTAATGTCATCCTGTCCTCCCTTCCCTGTGCCATGGGCCCTGTTTCCCCATCACTTGAAGTACATTTTCTAATTACAGTGGTCCTTGGATGGTGTGTCGCTCCTTAAAGATTGTGGACATAGAACATGTTATGCAGGATGTTCAATTGGGAATGTGAGATACATTTGTAATTCTGGTGATGAAAGAAGCTCACGAGTGGAGACTTGTCGGCAGTTAGTATGAGAGAATCCAGGCAAGGAATGGCTTGAACTGATTTTGGACAGAGAAATCCATCCTCCGAATTCTTTTATTTCCCTTATAGCATAATTGCAGCTAAGACTGTAGTTTATGTTCTCAAAGGTCTTGACATTTTTAGTGAGGAAATATTGATCATATCCAAAACTACTTGAATTACTGGAACATTCTCAGTTCCTGATAGTGTAACAACAGGAAGGATCCCAGCCATCCATATGGAGATTACAATGGCAGGAACTATGTGGGATGTCACACTAGCAAGTAGTCCTGAGAAATTCTAGTTCCATTTTTAGCTACTAGGGAGAGAAGGCAGAGATCACTTACCTTTGACATCGACTGTAACCACCTGACTGAGCTGGGACCCCAGGCTATTGCTGGCCTCGCAGGAGTAATTTCCAGAATGTTCTTCTGTCAGAGAGAGGTTGAAGGATGCTCCTCTTCCAGAAAGGGCTAACTTGTCACCCAGGAAGCCATCTTCATGGTAAAACTGATACAAGATTGGGGAAGAGCCTTTCTGAGCCTCACAGTGAAGTTCCATGACATCTCCTACCACAGCACGGGCCCTGGGAGTCCTGAGAGTAAGGACAGGACGAGACACTGCAACTAAAGGAGGAAAAAGGATTTACCACCAGGTTCTAATGTTTAAAGAGATCCCTTCTATTCAAGGCTGTGGTGCAGTGGATGACTTAATGCGCCCTTCTAGCTGTAGACTTTGGCACTCTCAAACAATGATTGGGTGGAACTAGGTTAATAAGATGTTGATGGTCCATCAAAGGGACTGGACCGCTGGCCCATAAAGCAAATAAGGTGCATGGAACCCTGCAGGGGTGGAACCATGCACATAGGGTATATGAAATGCTAACAAAAGGATTGGTCAGTTTTGCCATCCCACTAAACTTAGACCGAGTTAATTTCAGAGCACATTGGGGACATCACTACCACCAAGAAGAGCTTTATTCTTTGAACCCAAAGTTCCCGTGCTGAGAACTTCCGAGACCCAGGAGGGAGTGAGAGAGCGAGAACACTGGGGGCTGTGAAAGGTGGTGGCAGAGGAAAGGCAGAAAGAGATGATGTGGTGGACTTCCCAGACTGAGGAGGGAAGCTGCTACAGCGAGGGTGCCAACCCACGGAGTGAAAGAGTTGAATGCTTTTGGAAAGAGGACTTCCTTGTGGAGTGGAGTGCCTCTGGATATTTGAGGAACTGTGTAATCCTTGCTCAAACAGGGCAGGGGCCAGGGGCCAGGGGCCAGGGGCCATTGGCCAAGGATCAGAAAAAGGCCTGCCTACCAGCTCAGCTGAGAAGAGGGTGTCCCGATGAAAGAACTGTATTCTGAGTAATTTTTTATCCTGGATGGTAACATTGTCTGTAACTGCTGTGTGGTCTCTGCAGATTACTGGACCCAGCAGAGACGTAGAGCGCGCTATGGAAAGGACAGCTGGCGTCAGAACTAGTAAAGGAGTTGGCAACAGGAAATATGTCTGACTTCTGCCTCAGAGAAATTAGCCTGGGGCTTTGATCTTGCTTTTCTTCCCCTTGTGACGTTAGAGGAGGGCAAATGCCCTGGTCATGCCATTTTACAGAAGCATTTCCCCAAAGAAGGCTTTCTTCTGCTTTGAATGACCTTGTGGCGTCACTCAGAACTCAGATGTAATTTCTTTAGATCTGGGGAAGCAGTGACATTTGTGTAGCCCTGCCTAGAGTTCAGAGTACTTGGATATAGAACTTCAAATGTATTCGGGAAATCTGAGAACAAAGATTAAATTGAAACTCAGACATCCAAGAAGCCAAAGGAAAATTGGGGGAAAGGAGAAATGTGTTCAGAGGAAAGTGAGGAATCAGAGCGACACATTGTTGATAGGCCAGAGTTCTGGAGGTGTCGTGGTTACACACTGGGCTGCTAACCACTAGGTCAGTGGTTCAAACCTGCCAGTTACTCCCAGGGGGAAAGACGAGGCTTTCTATTGCTGTAAAGAGAAGTCTTGGATACCCTGAGGTGTAGTTCTGCCTTGTCCTATAGGGTTGCTATGAGTTAGAAATGACTCGATGGTAGTGAGTGTTGTTGACCTTGCCAGGGATGTAATTGAGTCTGGACAGCATCAGGAGCGGGGCCCACAAGAGAATTAATCAATATATCTGTTCCTTTATTTTATCAAGATCAATTGAGCAATTAGCAAATCCCAGAATTGTTTTATATGCTGAGGCTCCCCTAGGGAGAAAAACAAGCCTCTGTTCTCACGTAGTCTATAATGGAGAGAAGATGTTAGACAGCGATTAAGCACCTATACAAGTATAGAATTAATATTTGACAATTGATACAAACTAGAATACCATAAAATATGTAACCCTGGGTCCTTATCTAGAATGTGTTAGTCAGGGAAAGCTTCTGTTAGTCAGGTAACTAAAGCAGGTAGCAAGCGACAAACAGCATGTGTCTGGGCTGTGAGTCGAAGGGGAGATGGGCACATTTGAACTAGTGCCACCAGATGGCAGCGGCCCCGGGGGCAGCATCTGAAGAGTGTCAAAGAATGGAGGCTGAAGAGAAGCAGAGTTTCATAAGCTGGAGGACTGGATCCTTCCTTAAAGACAAGTGGGAAGTCAATAAAGACATCCATACAAGGGTGTAAGATGATCAAATTTATCTTTCTGAAGGCTACCCCCCCCTAAAAAAAGAAAGATTGTAGCGGGTTCAAGTGGAGTGGATAGGCAGGTAAGTAGACCTGCAGTGGTACTAAAGGTGGTGGATTTGACTAGATTAGTGGTGGCAGATGTGGGAAAAAAGATCTGATAATTAGGAAGCAGATTCAAGAAAGCTTAGGGATGAACTGGCTTTGATATGGGTGAGGGAGAGAGAAATGTAGAGAATACCAATTTTCATTAATTGACGGAGGAGACCACAGCTAAAATTCATTTAGAAGAGACACAGGGAACTTTGTCACTTCCTTTCTTTCTGATCATTGTTGAGCAGCACAGAGTGTGTGTTTTGAAAAGTGTTTGAGGGGGGTTTGGGTGACAATGGCTGGAGAGTGTTGCGACAGGTAAAGGTAGAGCAAGCAGAGAGCAGGCCCACCTTCCTGAAAATACAGCCTGCAGAACGCCCAGGTGGCGGTGACAGGGGCAGGGGGCTTGTCATGATGTCCAGAGAAAATAGCCCGGTGGAGCTCGGCTGTTTCAGGTTCTGCTAGTGTGAGGAGGTCGGGAAGACAGTGCTGCCAGTTGCAAAGGCCAACTTACCAGTGACGTTGAGTAAGATTGGGGAACTGTGCTTGGGTCCCTGGCCGTTGTCAGCCGTGCAGTGGTAGTTCCCAGAATGCTCTTCAGTCAGAGAAAGGCTGATGGATGCTCCTCTGAAATGCACGGAGCTGGTCCATAGGGTGACTTCCTCTTGATAAAACTGATACAGAATTGGGGGCGAGCCTCTCTGGGCCTCACAGTGAAGCTCTATCATGTCCCCAACCACAGTTTGGGGCCTGGGAGTCTTCAGGGTGAGGACTGGGAGAGACACTGGAACTGAAGGAGGGAGTGAGTTAACAGATAACAGTCTCATTTTTTAAAAAAGGTCTAAATCGAACTCTATAGAATCGTATAACATGAAAATGCAAGTTCTCTCAATTCCTTCAGTTGCATTTTTCTGAGACCACTATGGTTGACTATCACGTGATAATTTAGATCTTTTAAATCTATAAATATGCATACAGATTCACACATAAATAAGTAGACAAAATTCACACCTGCCCGGATCACAATATTCTTATTTATCTACAAACTGTTTTTTCCTCTTCCTAACATAACATAGAGAATTTCCTATGGTCTTGTTTAAAGATCTATACCATTTTAAAAATTAACTTTATTGATTTATAATTCATGTGCAATGAAATGCAATGCAGTGTTATAAATGTACTATTTTTTGTTTTTTAAATAAAGTCTGCCCATTTATTTTTAACAACCAAACATTCGATTGTCTATATTTACCCTAATGCATTTGACAAGTTCCCTCTTAATAGACACTTAAGTTGGTATTAAAAAATAATACTGCATTAGACAATTCTATATATATTTCTATAGACAATTCTACAGATATTTCATAGGCATTTTTAGGGTAAATCTAAGTGAAATTTATGGAAAAAGGAGTATAGGCTTTTAAAATTCTATGTAATGTTAGGTTGTTTTATAGAAGGGATAAACCCATTTCCACTTGCACTTATGGTATAGCAGAGTTCCGTTTGTTCTACTACCTGCTTAATTACAATCCTCTACGTGCAATAGTTTATTTAACTTTAATTATCTTCTTACTCTGATCTGGGCCTCTATAGTTGCTCCATCTGAACTATCCATTCATTCATTCTATTATGTGAGTTTACAACTTACTCGTTGATTTTCAAAGAAAACAAAAATCCTCACAACTGGACCAATAAGCAACATCCTCATAAACAGAGAAAAGACCGAGGTTATCAAGGACTTTGTTCTACTTCACATGGAAACAGCCGTCAAGAAATCAAATGAGTCGTGTGACGAACAAATCTGTGGCAAACTATCAAAAGATATAGCGTCTGGAGTCTTAAAAGCTTGAAGGTAAACAAGTGGCCATCTGTCTCAGAAGCAACAAAGCCCACACGGAAGAACATATCAATCTGTGTGATCACGAGGTGTCGAACAGATCACTGAAGACAAATGGGTGCATAAGCAAATGTGGTGAAGAAAGCTGATGGTGCCCG